GGAAATGTTTTTTAAATCGTATTTTGGCATGATGACTGGTTTTGTTCTCTTCTTCTTGAGTTTTATTTTTATTTTTGAAATGAGTAGTTTATGATCTGTGCCACAATCAGCACCTGCTCTAGTCTTGGCCACCTTATACACCACATAAGGTATATGCATATGATAAAAGTAAAAGTACAGTAATTCTTTTTTTATGGTCCTAATCTTAACTGCTCTGCGCGTGGTACCCTGCTTTCATGTTGAATCTTTATATTAGTCCTTCCAGTGATGTCCTCATGTTTCCTACATAACCCAGCCAGGTCTCTACAGAGCAGCGTTCATGCGGTTTAAAAGGATGCTACTAGAAAGCAGTATCACTTCTTTCTTTGCATGTGAGCTGAAGTACTTTTGGCCTGGTGGGTTTTAGATCTTGCACACAGTGGTATTCCTCTAGTTTTGAGGTGGTGTTAAGAATATTTCTGCAGTGAAAAATCTCCTCTGCCTCCCAGTGAAACTGGTGTGTTATAGAGTGTCAGACTAGATAAGTGTTTATGTGTCTCTAAGCATGTCAGTGTTGGTCACAATCTATGGGGGTGAAATAAAACTGGAGAATCAGAATTAAAAAGAAGAATAGAAAAGGAAAAGGTAGATATAAATGGACAGTTGGTACTGTATAATTAAAAAGGGAAATGGGGGCAGGGAGAAAGAGCTTTGAAATATCTGCAGATTGGTGAGTAAATCTCATTGAAGTCAATATAATGTGCTTGAAAGTAGATACATCAAGGCTTATGCTGTAAGACAACCTACTTTAAAAAGATACTTAAAGTTTGTCAAGATTGTAACATCCTAGAAAGACTGAAGAGTTTTGGATTTTCCAAGTCAGAAAATCACAAATTAAGAAAAGTAATTGTTAAGCAAAAAATGATAATGAATGGTGGATTTTGTAGATCTCTTAAATGTTTTTTGTGTGTATGTTTTGTGTGTGTTTTACAGCTGTGATTGGCTTACTGTACCCCTGCATGGATAAACATCTGGGAGAGCCACATAAATTTAAGAGAGAATGGTCAAGTGTGATGCGCTGTGTAGCAGTCTTTGTTGGCATAAATCATGCAAGTGCTGTATCCTTTTCTGTGATAATGACGTTAGTAATAGTATCTGAACTTTCTAGGAGTCTGAAAGGCAAACAAGAGCTGCTCCACTCACTTCACTAGTATTTCATGTATGGAGCAGTAAATACTGATGTAGCAGTAAATTCAGTAGCTCCCCCCCCCCTTCCATTGTTAACTTATGGTGATGTAAAGCTAATCAGAAGTCTGTGTTTAATGTAAAAGTATAAGTGGATTTGGGCTGTATTAGACCAAATGGCTGTCCAGTCCAGTATTTTGCTCCTCCAGCGGCCAAACAGGTGGAAAACCCACAAGCAGGATGTGAGCACAAGAGTATCCTTCCACTTATGTTACCTAACAACAGCTGTAGGCAATCTGTCCACCATGAGTTTATTTAGGGCTTTTACAGACTGACAAAAATAATGCAGCTTGAGTCCACTTTAACTGCCCTGGCTCAATGCTAGGGAATCATGGGAACTGTAGTTTATTGTGGCACCAGAGGTCTTTGACAGAGAAGGCTCAATATCTCAGAAAAACTACAGTTCCCTAGCATTGGGCATTGAGCCAAGACAGTTAAAGTGGCCTCAAGCTGGATTATTTCTGGCAGTCTGTAAAGGCCCTTTGTCTCCTTTTAAATCTGTCTAATTTAGCAGCCATCAATACATTGTGTAGTGGTGGCTTCCAAAGCTTTAAGTACACACTGTGACACAGTCAGTTTTCCACATTTGTGGGTTAAATGGCAATAGATTTGATGATTCACAGGTGTGTCTGGGTTGTGTGGGAAGTGGGCTCCTATGTCCACGTGCCCCCAGCTGTGGGGGAAAGAGGCAGGGAAGGCAAGCAAACCCCCTGAGGATTGCAGCAGCAGCAGCACCTGGCAGAGGAGAGAGGGAAGGGACTCCATTCCCCACATGCCCCTTGTGGGCCTCCCCACTGCTTGTCCCAGCCATGCTCTTGGGCTCATTCTTTCTGCTGCTTCTACATGTGCACTTGCCACATGAGAGAGAGGCAAAGAGGGTGAGTGACCTCCCCGAAGGACTGCAGTGGAAGCCCCCACCTCCTTGAGAGTGTCCTGCCAAGTAAGCATGGGGCAGGGGTTCTGCACTCTTAACCTCTGTGAATGTGAAGGGCTGACTGTACTTGTCTGTCCTAATAAATAAACACCATAAAAATGTGACACAGCACAAGGTATGTTGGGCCCTAAATCAACAGCAGGAGCAGTAAAATATTAAGATTTAAAATGCCTGTGAATCCAAAATTTGTACTAATAAACATCTATTAGTGAGGTGGGTGACTCTGAGAAAGCAATTTTACAAAGTAACCTAATTGCATATCTAGCTTTTAAAAAGCATTTGCAATTTCACAACACTAGTCTAGCCCTGAAAATAGTGTGATTAGTTGCTCAAGTGGAGCATTTCTTGACCCTGTGTTTCAGAGGATAAAGAAATATCAGAATTGTACACTACTTGTTGGCAGTCTCTGTTAATCAGTTTTTGACCGATTTCCCAAAATGGATTCTTAATGTTACTCACAGAAAGTGGATTTTGCTAACAACATCCAGTTGTCTCTCACACTTGCTGCTCTTTCCATTGGACTGTGGTGGACATTTGATAGATCTCGAAGTGGCTTTGGCCTGGGCATAGGAATTGCATTTCTAGCCACAGTGGTAACTCAGCTTTTGGTCTACAATGGAGTTTATCAGTAAGTATTTTCAGCATAGTAAAATTATATTAGTTTAATTAAGAAATTAAAGACAGTATCTGACATATATGCCCGTTAAACACTTCAGTACTGCTCAGCATCTTCCCAAAAAGGGTGAAATAGATCCCATTGGAGGGAATGTGATATGTGTGTTTGAGATTAGAGCCGAGAATACAGTTGCATGAGCTTATGGTCGCATTTGAGGCTTCATGCTTCTAAGCTTTCTGGCTGCATTTGATATGGGGAAAATAGCGTGTGAGAGAGAAAGAGTAGTTCAAATAGCATGGAATAAGCAGAATTCCCCAATTTTACTCTCAGGTTTGGGTATTTGCAGGAAATGGGATAGAGGTGGGTGGAGTTCCTTTGCAGTTGCATACTGATGCCCTCCCTATCCCAGCAATTAACTGGGATGGAAGGCTGACAGTTGTTTCAAAGCTGCTTTGTCAATCTATTCAGAGTGTCTTGGCATGATAGGACAAAACATTAAGGCCCCACTACCTTTCTAACGCAACACTTGAACCTGGGGTTTGGAACGGAGTTTTGCCTGACCTCACATGGGATCTGGGACTGGCATCAGGATATCATAGAACAAAAGGACTAATTATTTGTAGAACTAAAAAAACTTCAAAGAATTTCCAGAGTGTCAGATAGACTTGAAGCTGGCTGATTGATCAGTGCAAACCATACCTCTGGAAATAAGTAGAAATATATGAAACAAAAATGTAATGGGGGTGGTGGCCAGGCGGTGCTTTAACCTTACCCATCATGGGATAGGAATGCTTCATGATTGTTCTACACCTTTCATCAAGTCTCTGGATCGGTCTTTACAAAAGGGGTGGTAACCTTGTGGTCCTGAGGATTTGTGTGGATCTGGAATTCCATGGGAGCAAGACTCCCCAGAGCACACGGCTCGAAGAACTGGGGGGCTGAGTATACTAAAGTCCAAAAGAGTGAGAAAGCAGACAGTTAAGTACATACACACACCATGAGTTCTGTCCTTTCTGGGTGCCTTCAAGACACTTTCTGCGTTTCTCAGAACAAAATGGATTCTTTAGCCAAGTTATTAGGGGCATACCAACCAAAAAATAAACGTTAGAAATACACAGAATATAGTAACAGTTGAGCTTTTCTGTAACAAGATGCATTTTAAAGCATTGTATCAGGTTTAACAGCTAAGCATCCTCTTTATCTCTTTCTAGGTACACATCTCCTGACTTTCTTTATGTGCGGTCCTGGTTACCCTGTATATTTTTTGCTGGTGGGATAACAATGGGAAATATTGG